GGCTTTTCTTTATACTCTTGTCATCTTCTCATGTTTAGCTCACCTCCCAGTTACGTGTGTGCGAACGACCTCATGTTTTCAAGGAGACACTTTAGAACCACTGGTAAGTCCTCACTCTCAGCTGTGAGGCTAGTAAAAGTTTAAGTATACACAAAAATTCTTAGGCTAAAAAGCCAGATTCATGACCTTGATCAATCAGTAAATAAAGAGGTCCTCTACCCCTCTTGTCTAGAAGAGGTGAAGGAGTAGCACAGAAAGAAGAGTCATCACAATGAATAGGGTTAGTGAGTTCTGTAGGACTAAACTGTCTTTGAAGAACCAGTTCCTGCCTCACTCCTACGGTGGAGGTGTCTGGATTCAGTTCTCTTCTGTTGCTACCTACGATTAGCACCCTACTTAACTCATACCTAGTCACTGGGAGAGACAAATGAGGACACTACAATGACTGGATCACCAAGCAGATTTCATAATATAGACTTGTTGGCAATCCAGCCAAACAACCAGACTAGCTGAATGAGACACAATATTTTCTTGGAATTGTAGTATAACATATCTCAAGTAAATCTTAGAATATAGGACAAAAATTCTAGAAGGAAAACCACCTGAAAAGCTTGGGGGGATGAGGAAGAAAAAGGGTATTTACATTTCTAAAACATCACAGGCGCTTTGTATGTTAAACCATGAAAGAGACTCCAGGTCAAATATGAACTGTCTAGACAAATCCTTAGCTGGGTTAACCAAGAAAAAAAAAAAAAAAACAGGACTCATAACTACAATCAGAAATGAAAGATGGGACATTAAAACCAATGCCACAAAAATAAAAAGGATTAAAGGAGAATAATATGAAAAATTGTATGTAAACACTGGATAACCTAGAAGAAATAAAGATATACAACCTATCAAGATCAAAGCAAAAAGAAAGAGAAAGTCTGTTCAAACCTCTAACTATTAAGGAGATTAATTCAGTAATGAGAAACCCCCCAACAAAGAAAAGAGGACCAAATGGATTCACTGGAGAATTCTACCAAATTTTAAAGAATTAATACCAATACTCCTCAAACTCTTCTCCACAATTAAAGAAGACGATATACTCCCAAGCTCATTCTATGAGGCCAGCATTACCTTAGTACCAAAGCCAAACAAAGAAACTATAAGAAATTGATACAAATATACTCAGCAAAATACTAGCAAACTTATTTAAATAGCACATTAAAAGGATTATACGTGATGACCAAGGGGGAACACAAGGATGGTTCAACATACGAAAATCAATGTGACGTACCATATTAACAAAATGAAGGACAAAAACCACACGGTCATCTCAACTGATGCAGAGAGCGCATTTGACAAAACTCAGCACCCTTTCATGATATAAACACTTAAACTAAGAATAAAAGAAAACTACCTCAACATAATAAAGGCCATATATGAAAAGCCCACAGCAACATCATTACTCGATGTGAAAAGGCTGAAAGCTTTTCATCTGGGATCAGGAACATGAAAAACATGCTTTCTCTTGTCACTTTTATTCAACACAGCACTGCAAGTCCTAGCCAGAGGAAATCAGGCAAGAAATAAAAGGCATCCACGTTGGAAAGGAAGAAGTGAAGTTATCTGTTCACACATGACATGCTCTTATACGTAGAAAAGATTCCACACACATACACAAAACTGTTAGAACTAATAAACAAATTCAGCAACATTGCAGGATACAAAAATCAACATGCAAAAATCAGTTGCATTTCTATACACTAACAATGAACAGCCTGAAAAGAAAATTTAAATGCTTCCATTTACAATAGCATCAAAGAGAAATAAAAGTTAACCAAGAAGGTGAAAGACTTGTACACTGAAACGACAAAACACTGCTGGAAGAAACAAATAAGACACACATAAATGGAAAGACATCCCATGTTCATGGACTGGAAGATTTGATACTGTTATAATGTCCATACTTCCCAAAGTGATCTACAGATTCAGAGCCATCCATATCAAAACTCCAAAAGCAATTTTTGTAGAAATACAGAAATCCATCCTAACATTTATATGGACTCTCAATGGAACCTGAAGCGCCATAACAATCTTGGAAAACAAGAACAAAGTTGGACAATCTCACACTACCTGATTTCACAACACATTACAAAGGTACAGTAATCAAAACAGTGTGGTGCTAGCACAAACACAGACATATAGACCAATGGGATAGAATAGAGAGCCCAGAAAGAACTCCTCACACATATGGCCAAATAAGCTTCAACAAGACTACCAAGACCACTCAAAAATGGGGAAAGGACGGTCTCTTCAACAAACTTGTGTTGGGGAAAGTGGATATCCACGTGCAAGGAACAAAGCTGCACTCTTACTTTATAGCATACACAAAAATTAACTCAAAATGGATTAAAAACCTAAAGGTAAGAGCTAAAACTATAAAATTCCTGAAAGAAAACATGGGGAAAAAGCATTATGACACAGGATTTTTTTTTTTTTTTTTTGGCAGTATGCAGGCCTCTCACTGTTGTGGCCTCTCCCGTAGCGGAGCACAGGCTCCGGACGCGCATGCTCAGTGGCCATGGCTCACGGGCCCAGCCGCTCCGCGGCATGTGGGATCCTCCCGGACCGGGGCATGAACGTGCATCCCCTGGATCGGGAGGCAGACTCTCAACCACTGCACCACCAGGGAAGCCCGACACGGGATTTTTTTAATATCTTCGATATGACACTAAAGGCACAGGCAAGAGCAGAAACAGCCAAATGGGAGTACATCAACCTTAAAAAATTCTGTGTATCAAAGGACACAGTCAACAGAGTGAAAAGGCAACCTATGAAATGGGAGAAAATATTTGCAAATCATGTATCTGATAAGTGGTTTATATCCAGAATTTATGAAGAATTCCTAGAACTCAACAAGAAAAAAACAAATAACTCTATTAAAAAATGGGCAAAGGGGGCTTCCCTGGTGGCACAGTTGGTTGGGAGTCCGCCTGCCGATGCAGGGGACGCAGGTTCGTGCCCCGGTCCGGGAGGATCCCACATGCCGCGGAGCGGCTGGGCCCGTGAGCCATGGCCGCTGAGCCTGCGCGTCCGGAGCCTGTGCTCCACAACGGGAGAGGCCACAACAGTGAGAGGCTCGCGTACCACAAAAAAAAAAAAAAAAATGGGCAAAGGACTTGAATAGACATTTCTCCAAAGAAGACATGCAAACGGCTAACAACATATAGAACAATGCCTCGCGTCATTAATCATTAAAGAAAGGCAAAATCAAGAGAGAATCACTACACACACAATAGGACAGCTACTATCAAAAAGACAAAAAATGACAAGTGTTGGTGAAAATGTGGAGAAACTGGAACCCTTGTGGGCCGTTGGAGGAAGAATAAAATGGTACAGCCAGTATAGAAGACAGTTATGGTGGAGCTTCAAAAGACTAAAAACAGAATTACCTTATAATCCAATAATTGCACTTCTGCGACCATACCCAAAAGAAAGGAAAGCAAGGTCTTGAAGAAATATTTGTATATACATGCTCACAGCAGTGGTTTTCACAACAGCCAAGAGGTGGAAGCAACAGAGTTATCTATAGACAGATGAAGAGATAAACAAAATGTGGTCCGTACAGTGGAATATGATTCAGTCTTCAAAGGGAGAAAATCACATGCTACAACATGGATGAACCTTGAGGACATTATGCTAAATTTAAAAAGCTAGTCACAAAAGGACAAATACTGTATGAGGCACCTAGAGCAGTTCAAATTCACAGAGACAGAAAGAAGAAAGGTGGGCGCCGGGGGCCGGAGAGGGGGAGGAATGGGAGGTAGGGTTTAATGGGGACAGAGTTTCAGCCTTGCAATGTAAAAAGTTTGAGAGATGGAGTGGTGACGGTTACACAACAACTTCAACATTCTTAACACTACCGAACTGTACACTAAACATGGATAAGATGGTAAATTTTAAGCTGTTTCTTGTGACATACGGATGTGTTTCCATCACTAAAGTTTGTCAGGATTACTGGGTGTGCAAACAGCCCAGAGGCAGCTGATGAAGGGAGTGTGAATGGCGGTGCTTGTACCTGTGCGTGAGGAGTGTGTGTGTGTAACCCAAGAACAGTCCACATGGCTTCTGTGTGGCACAGGCAGCGGTATTAGCAGGGCCCTTTGACAGAAAATGCTCTGGTTCCCGGGAATACTCAATCTGCCCCTCTGGATATGTGTACAAATATAGATAACAACACACGTTTCAAAAATGATGATGACTCATATGAATACAATTTTGAATCCAAAATTACTGCTATAACTGTAAACTTTTTCTCCCTTAGCACCAGGAATTCTAAAGACTGAGTTTTCACCTTTTCTCCTAGAAAAATCTTAAAATAATACTTCATTTTTAAGCATTTTTTGTCCCTGTAATCTAGAACATTCTTGACCTTCTCACTTGTAGTAAGAACCAGCAAGCAATTCCGTTGTGATCAACCTTCAGTTAACATGCCCCAAGGGAGAAAAATCATCTTCCCTTTCAAAGAAAAACAAGTCAAGAGAGCGATAAGGGCCATACAAACAGACATGTCAGAACAGAATTATGCCTTTAACTTAAAAAAAAAAAAAATTAAACTTCTTTGGGGAGATTTAGGTTCTTGCTTATCATCAACATGTTAAAGTTTGCATAGCTGCTGAAACCTTAGTCGGTGTTATCTGATTGTGAAAAGGAAAAGCCTTCTGTCAGGAATGTAATCTTTACATAATACCCATGCAAACACAATGCAAATGTTTTTGGACCTCAGGAGTCAGTGAAAGGAACGCATATTCTTTTAAGAAGCCTTTAAAAAGACAAGATTGAATCGCAGCACACAACAGCATCCACCAAACTCTCTCTCGAGCCCCTCTGAGCCTCACAAGAAAGAGAATTTTCCAAGAAGTTATCAAGACCAAAGGACAACCCTAGCATGCCCCGCATGAGTCTGTGAGAGTCACTACTAAGGTGAGAGACAGGATGGCAGAGGGTGGCACCTGGCATGAGCTCGGCGGTGGGGAACACCTCCTTCAGCTTCGCCTGGCTGGCTTCCACCAGCTCCTCCTTGGACGTCGGGAGCTGCAGGGTGTCTACGATGATCTGGGCCGCCTCCAACGCTGTCTTACCCATAACAAGGGACTTCACATCCCAGCTGTATTTCTTCCCATAGCGACCGCAGACTGCCTCAAACACCACTGAGTACAGCCGTTCAGTATCTGCAGACACAGTGAGACGAAGACACAGAGGCTTTTAGGGTGCATGCGGTGGTAATGCCAAGTCTACATCAGAGAAGCACGTGTGTTCACAGTGCAGGTCAAGTTCAGGGTAGAAGGCTCTCTCGGGGAGACCTATGGACGTGAGGGAAACGTTCTCAGGCCATGGGGACCAGACGATGCCCTGGGCAGCCTGCTCTCTGCTGCTTGGGAACGTTACAGGCTGGCCCAGAAAGGAAGTCTCTAGTACGGTGAAACTGCCTTGTCTACGCGCACGCACGCATCTGGGCCTGAGCACGCGCTTGACGCCCTGAGCTGGTCCTCCCAAGCGTGCACCGTGACAGCAGCACGCAAGGGTCTGTGTGTGAGCCCTCTGCTGTTAGGGATGTGCCCCGAGGAACTACTCCCATCCGGCAGGAGCGCAGGAGCGCCTGGCCGCGGGCGGAGCAGTGAAGTGCCTACGCAAGGACAGAAAGTTGCGCGGCTCTGAGTAGGAACACACAACTCCTGTGCTTCTCGTTTCCTCTCACGGGACCAGATCCCTCACAGCACTTGTGTCATCAGGCATGGGGGGCGGGGGGCTTCGCCCACCAAGCCTTCCTGCAACAGCGGCGGCGTTTCCTGCAATGTACCTGGATGCTGACGCTCTGTGGTGAAGGGATCATTCCCAGGAGGCCGCCACCCACCCCGTGGCTGCTTCTCCCGGCAGCTGACCTGCCCTTCCCCTCCCCACCAGCTAAATGTGTCGTGCTAGGGCCTCCCTGTAGGCTGCTTCCCTGGACAAGCCCTGGACCCTCAGCCCCACGGTGGCATGCTTCAGCCTTGACGATGACCAGCAACGGAAAGAGCTTTTCTTTCTCCTCTGCTTTTCAAGGCAAAATCATCTACAGCTGCGTATCAAGTAGGCTCAGCGCTTTAACTCTTTGGGTCCTCACCGTTCTACCACGGGCTGGATTCTGGCGGGAAGGTATAAGACACACAACAAAAAGATCTCAGATATCCACCCTCAGACATACTCGCCAGACCATGCTTGGGCATGACCCCTGGGCTGGGTAATACATTCCAGCTTTTGTTTCCTTTTCTTTTTTTGGTACAAAAGAAGGTGGGACTTGAGGAAAAGTCTTCCCGGGATCCTTGGTAGAAGCAGCCAGCGTCTGCATAATAGCCTGAGTGGTTCTAGTTTTTCTAGAACCATGCTGCACTTAATCTCCCTGAAGAAGTCCCAGCAAAGAGGGAAGGGCTGGTGCACCCTCCGCCGGACGCTGAGGAGGGCTGCCTGTCACACACGCTTTTACATCCTTCTCGCCTGTGAGCGGACACAGAGGGAGGGCTCTCGGGGGTGGGGGGCGGGGGGATGGATGCACTGGCAGGGAGGCTGTACTTTTTACCTTCTACACGTGAGCACTTTTCTTCTAGCGGTTGAGAGAGAGAGAAAGACTGACAAAAAGACATCGCCGGCACCCAGCGAGTGAGAAACCACTGATGGGTTTGCGAAGGCTAGGGAGTGCCAGGAAAAGCAGCAGAGGCCGGGTGGGGACTTAACATGAGGGACTCGTGCTGAAGCAAGTGGACGGGGAAGGAGAAAGGAGCATGAAAAAAGACTAATTCTGAAGACAGAAAACAGCTGTATTCTTTAAAAACGCTTCAAGCAGCGTTTATTTAAAGCTGAAGCTTTTAATTTAAAAGGCACAGAACGGTGGGATTATAAATCTGTAGGAGACTGTGCCGACAGCCACTTTTCTTCACAATTTAGATAAAATCCCCCCAAACCCTCGGTGGAATAAGCGAGGATCTGAATGCGTCGCCAAGCTCCTCAGACGCAGCAATGAGGACGCCAGCTGACGACAGCGTACGATCAATGAAAGGGACAGCGTTTTGAAAGGAAAAGGTTCTCCAGAAGTTAAACTAAAATGAAGCCGCATAAAGTAGCTGTGCTCTGCGCCGTGCTTCTGGGTTATTTTTCACAGGAAACTCACGTGGTTTTCCACAGGCTACGTGCACACAAGCTGCTCCCTTACTCAGGTGTGTTAGGAACATACTGCAGGTACACGAGAACCTCAGCCCTGAGCGGTGGGGGGGATAGGATCCAGGCAGCAGTCCCAGCAGGTACAGATGAAGGGATCAGGCAGGCAGTGACACGAGGGCATCGGATTGGGCAGGGGGCAGTGAGGGAGGTGAGCGGACAGACTCAGCCCAGAGGTTGGTATTTTCATCCGAGCTGCGGGCTGGGTCCCCAGGTGGGAAAACAGAAGGCACTGACGTTTAGGGTCACTGAACTGTTACTATAAAAGGCATCACCACACCTGGAAGGCCTCTCTGTTTCATCTGAGGCTGAGTTTCTGTCGTTGTACTATGCTTAGCAACAGCTTTTATCATCGAGAACGTATTTAAATGCAGGCTGAGTCCATCCCAGACTCAGGACGGTATCCGTTTGTGTTTCAGCTTATGAAGACGGAAGGGGTGAGCGTATTTCCCCACTTCTCTCTTGCACGAAGCTGCACCTAATCCAGTTCTAAAGCCATGATCTGCATTATCTAATAGCAAAACCCCTCAATCAACCCGAGAGTAAGAAGCATGTAGGGTAAGAGCTGGCTTGGTTTCTCTGCCCACGCCATCTCCACTTCTGTACCACACGGACACAAAGCAAGGGCGTCCTGATCCGAGAGGAGCAGCGAATCCCCAGCCTGGCCACGCTCTGGCTGGACGTCCCAGGAGGAGCTGCTTCGCGCCGGTGACCTGCGGCTTCTGCCGGGGGCACCGTGGGGAGCAGCGGCCGCCTGCAGGCCCAGGCATGCCGGAGGACTCTGGGCTGGGAGCCGGCCCCGCGCTCGGAAGCCCGGCTGGCCTGGGTTGGAGGCCCTGCCCCGCAGCTGGCCAGCCGCTGGGAACTCAGGACATGTGCTCAGCACCCCACTGGGCCTTAGCTTACCCGTCTGCACCCTGGGGGGTCTTCCCACGGGCACACACCTGCTAGGCGCCTGCGTCAGCTGAGCGGGTAACCGGCGCCCAGCTGTGACCACGGCGCCCGGCCCTGCCTCCCCGCCTCTAGGGCCGTCTGGGGCACATGTGCCCTGCAGCGGCTCCGCGGAAGGCGGTCAGGGAGCATCTGTGAGCTCAGAGGAGACGACGAGCTCTGCTTTCCCTGCCTGCACACCACAGCTCCCAAAACGGCAAGGGCTGCTGCATCTGACAAGTCACAGGGCCTCGTTCCGGGTGCTTTACTTTAAAAGGAAGTGGTAACCATTTGGGATTCCCTCCCAGAGTGTTACACATTCCCTAGCTTCACAAATACTTGTTAACTGACCGCCCGGCCTAGGACAGGCACACTGACGCCGTGTCCCCAGCCCCATGATCCATAAACTTCCGGAAACGGAAAAGCTCTCATTTAGCAAAAACAGAGTCAGTTTTAAGGTTTAATATTTGGGACACTTAGCATGAACCTTCTTGCGCTTCCCTGTACAAACACCAACAGGCTTTGGATTACGGATGCTGCCCCAGGCCACCGCCGCCGCCCCCCCACAGAGCATACATATCATGGAATCAATGCATTCCACTTTAAAATAATAATTTAAAAATCGAAATACAACTGGCTCCTCCGGTTTTGGAAACGGACTGTGGACCCACATTGATTACCGCTCTCCAGTCAACTTACACCTTCCATATCCTGTACACCTTGAACAAAGTGAGATAATGCTTCTCAGAACTTAATATATCTTGAGAATAGTCTTACTTTCCAATTACTAAGAAAAAAAAAAGGAGGGCGAAGGTGACCTAAAGACACTGTTTTGTGCTACAGATAGTTCCTTAACGATACAAGATACCTTTCCACGTGGAAAGGCAGAAGGGCCCATCTCGGGCTAAAATCAAACTGTCACAGTCTGGCAAACAGGGAGTTGTAGAAGGGGAAGCAGACTGATGTAGCCGGCTCCATGCTTCCTCTCACCCAGAAATGGAGCAGTCTTCTTCAGTGTGGTGAAAGCTACATAGTTTACATGTGAAACGGCTTTAACGATAAAAAGGCAGCGCACGGTACATTCTGATCAAAGTGGTGGTGCCACTCTTCTAAGCCACTGTGGTAGTTAGTACACAGTAGGTAATCAATCACTGAATACACTCCTTGAAAACATGCACTTCTTTTGTTCACCTACCACTCGTTTCCCTAATCCACTGGTCCTCAAAGTGTGGTCCCTGGACCAGGAGAGTCAGGAATGCAAATGCTTGGGCCTCAGCCCAGACCTACTGAGGAGAAACTGGGTGAGGCCCCATGCTGTGACCCCAGATCTGCTGTGTGTTTTATCAACCCCCCCTCCCACCAGCAGGAAACCAGGGTGTGCATGCCTAACACAGGGGAGAATCACTGACCTGACCTGTTTTTACTAAAGCCCAGTGCTCTGCAGTCAGCGATTTTAAAACCAGATCAAGTTTAACCAAGAAAAGCTTGATTTTAACGATTACACGCATAGATCTATTAGCAGAAATTAAAGAAAAAATAATCTATTTACACTTTCCTCTGTATTGCATCCCATGCATAAACTTTTTTTTTCTTTTGAAGAAACATGTAGCTTGCAGTAAACTACAGACAACTTGATGGAACATACTATACTGAAAGGATTAGTGAACTGGTTCATCTCTCTCCCAAGTGGAAATTAAGAAGAAGGATGTCTAGCCCTGGGACCACAGAACAGGAAGCAACAGCTGTTGCCGGGGCCCTCGGTTTGAGAACTACTGAGACCGACACACTTGCTCTCTGTGCTTTCTAGCAGGGGGTCCTTGATTTCCTCCAGTGATGAAGGACCTCACTGGAAAATAAGCGTCCGTTCCCAAAAACGGACTCTTAGGTCAAGCGGCACAGCCATCCTACGGCCTAGGCTCTAGATGACGAGAGCCTGCAGACGTGGCTGGTTCTTCTCAGGAAGACAGGAGATGAGCCATCCGACCCGGCGGGCTCTGCTGTCAGGGGCTGCCCAGGGCTCTTCTTGACTTCTCAGGGCTCCCCAGCTTGC